GTGTGAAGTATAAATCCATATAACATATATAATTGATAAACTTGGATTATCAAAACTGTAATGGAATCAGTATTACATAAAAAAAGCAGTTAATATGCAATGAAAATATCTTTTTTAGCATTTTACTTGGATATTTTTTAGAGTGCAACAACAACAACAACAACAACAACAACAACAACAACAACAACAAAAAAGAGAATAAAGTAGCTTAATTTCTTCAGCTTTTCAATATTGCATTTTGTATCTTCATAAAAAAAAAAAAAAAAAAAAAAAAAAAAAAAAAAAAATGCAAATGTGAAAACAAAGTACAAAACCTATAGCCAGCCACTTCCACTCAAAACATTTACAGAAAAATCTTTTCACATCTAACTGATCCAATAAAAGTTTTATTATAAATGTTTTGTTCATATTTAACAATAAAAGTTTTGTTCATATTATAATTATTATAACAGTCTTATGTATAAAACTATTTGTTTCATTTAATTGATTCTACTATTAAAAGATAAAATTATTTTTTACATGACATCAACTTGAGTTACCATAGTTACTACTAAATGCTGCTTTTTAAAATTCTTATTACATAGTAACATTCATTCTCTTTAGATCTCCTTAAGTTACAGGAAGAAGAAAAACTTGCTTAAGATAGGAAGAAGACTAATGGGACGGTAGTTAGACAAGTCAGATCGTTCTCCAGAACTTTTGAAAATAAGAATAAAATATGCCGCTTTCGAGAAGACTAGAAAGCCTGAGAATTTTCTATGATTTTATTTATTTTATGCTTTAAATTTTGAATGCTTAAAAACAAGGAACTTAACATAAATAAATAGGCATTACTAGCTACTAAAACAAAACTTATAAGTAAAGATAAAGGATGATGCGTTTCAAATATATCACAATTTTGACATTACTATGCAACTTTTTGGACAATATTATTCAATTTAAAAAAATATTGAGCCATATTCAGCAATCTAAAGGATAACATAACATTAACTGCAACTAAAGAAGTACTTAAACTATCACGGGAAGTTTATCATTAATATATTTGAAACAAATATTTCTATGTATACGGGGGTGTATAAAACATCTATAAATACATTCTATGTATATGGGAGTGTATAAAACATCTAAAAAAGCTGAAAAAAAGTAGCAGTAAGTAGAAGTACTTGTTTTTATTTAAAAAAAATTTTCAGAAAAGAAATAAACATTGATCTCAAACCTTATCAAGTCAAGTTTTTTATTTTTTGAATTTGAATAGACTTTCTAACTACAAGTTTAGTTTTGTTTTCAATAATGATTATCTATGATTAATTTCATTTATGACGTTGAATAAAATTTCCATTTTTAATGGACCAAGACCAAGGGTTCTTATTTTTGATTAAAAGCAGGTTATCAGCAATAATTTTAAAAAAAGTTGATTTTACCCTAAATAGTCAACCTTTTTCATTTAGATGGTCTTAAAACCGATTTGGTGAAATCATTTTTTCAAAAAGTCTTTTTGTCTATTTAATTTAAAAGATTTTGGTTTAAGTAATTCTATTACTATTTTCATTTTTGTAAAAATGTGAGTTTGCAATAAACTGTAGAAATCCTATGGGATATTATACATACAAACATATATAAACTTCCATGCGACATTGTCAAAATAAGAAAAACTTGCATAATTAACATTAACTAGAGGTATTCTTGAATCTATATTTAATTAACAAAAATATATATATATTTTTTTGCACCCATAAAAAATAAACAGCATAAAAAAAAGAAGAATAATCAGTGAAAAAAATATTGATGAAAATAATAGTTCAAGGATGAGGTCTATACCATAGGTCATACATATGGTTAATATCTATTATCTATGGTCTAAAGGCCTTGTTATGAAACTTTGTCGTGTGACAGAAAAGTGTAATGCAGTAAATGTAACTTTACTTAATAAACATAATTACATAAGTTTTGTATTTTAAAGTACCGCATTGTAATTAAATTCTATACAAAACCTCATTAAAATTCATTTAAAGTATTTATATTTATAAAATATTAATGAAATATATCTAGATTAAACAATATTGTTATAAAAAAATTTATAAAAATTTAAATGTTGTTTCAAAAAAAAAAAAAAAAAAAAAAATTACTTTATTTAAACTTATACTATTTATTTCTTAAAACATTATAAAATACACAAAATAATATTGTCTTATGTTTGCTTTCTCACAATATATATATTTGTGCATAAATGAGGGGGCAATTGTTAATGAGTGAATGCAGGGTCGGGTTAAGTACTTCATGGCCTTCCAGCATTTTAGGCCTTCTGGCCCTTGTTGGCCTTCTAGTATTCATATTTAACAACAATTTTACATAAAAGAAATCTTTGTAATTATTGCGCTATGGCTTAATAATATATTTTCTTTTGTTTTTAAACAAGTATCTTGCGTTATTTATTATTAAAAACACGCTGTGATTAGTATAGATCTTAAAACACCTTTCGTCTGCATTTTAAGCTTGCAAATGCAGATATGATAGTTTTTAGGTCAATGAAATCCATTACCCGGCTTTCTACTTGAACTATAGAAAGATCTGAAAAACGCTAAACTATGTTTAAAGTATATAAAAAAATTATACTATAACATGTTACTTAAGGATGATCATATTAGCTATAAATTCCATAACCTTGGCCACTATTAAGTGTATGAGTTCTTCGCAAATGTCTTTAGGTAAGTACAAACTACAACCATTTCCTTTGTATCCATGATTTATCAAGTGTTGGGTGAGGAAAGGATCAAATTTTACTGATAGCTCAATACATCAAATAACGTTTCCGTTGCATATTGATCTTAGTTTTTCTTCTGATCTGCGAAATGATAATCCTCTGAGAATGAACAATAAATAAAATATCCAAATAGTTTTAATTTTATTTTTCAACATTCTTAAAATTTTGTTTAAATTTTTTTTTCCACCATTATCTTTGAACTCAAAAAGTTCGTTCAAGTTGTTAAAAAAATAAAACGTCCAGTTTGCAATACGTCATATGCGCTGTTAATGCAAAGATTAAAAATCTCTGGGATATGAGAGGAAGTCAAGAATAGAATTTGACAATAATTTTTCTTTCAAATTATATATCTCTCAAATATTCACTTAAATGTTCTGGTTCCTAGAACTCTGTGGCCTCCTGGCATGTGTCCAGTGTGTCCATTGGTTAAATTGGCACTGGGTGAATTTCTTAACGATCAAATAAAAAAATTAAATTTTTTTTTTTTAATTTTTAACTTTAACAAAATTTTTGCGTAAACTAGTTAACAATTTCTAATTGATTTTATGATCAATCTAAAAAACTAATGATAATGGAAAAACTTTAGCTCAAAAACAATTGAAAAACTAAAAAAATAATCTTTTCATAAAATTGTTATATGAGCTGTTATAAACCCACAGTATAATAAATATTCATTTTATTTGATTTTGGTGCATTTTTTTGAAATTTTTTATTTATTTCACAAATTTAAAAAAAATACAAAATATAATCATAAAAAATAAACCATAACCCAAAAATTATGATGTATCAGTCACCCAGAAAATATGAGAAAAAATGAACATTTATTATATTGTGGGTTAGGCATTTGTAAAACAGCTTGTATAAAGTTTACTAAAAAAAATCTCTAAAATAATATTTCTACAATTATAATTTATTCTGCAAATGCGTTTATATACAAATATAAGTGCATTAAGTACTTATGTAACTTTCATAGCGAAATGGAAAAAAAATTATTGATTTGAAACTGTAAATAAATAAACAAAATAGTTTAATGTAAAACGGATTTTAAAGTAACTTGAATTTTATTAGAATTTATTAAAAAAATTTTTTTTTTTTAACATAGCTCAAAAATTTTAGCAAAAAAAAAAAAAAAAAAAATTGTAAAACAAAGCATTTTAAATTTTTTAAAAAATTTAATTAAAATAAATTTAAATTTAATTTAAATCCAATAAAATAAATTTTAATTAAAAACTTTTTAAAAACAGAAAGTAGAAAAAAATTTATTTAAGTTTCTGTTTTTTGAACTATAAAAATTGCTTAATGTTTTTTGCATAAACAATTTTAAAAGACTATTTTATTTATTTGAAAAAAGCTTTGCCTTAACGTAAATGGCTTAAAGTGTAAATATCCATTTTTCATGTAAAATTCAAATAGTGTAATGCTTCTTAACAAGGCCTGTGGCCTATTTATAGCATCTATTAAATGGTCTGTACAAAAATAATATTAGATCATACAAATATTATTATAAATATTATTAACAACAAAATTTGATGATTTTGCAATCAAGCATTCTTGTAATACTTTTTCTGGTTATAACTAATTCAAATAAACAATAGAATGAATGAACAAAATTACTTGTTCATGTTAAATGAATCGAGGTGATTTCATTTATGCACAAATATTACAATTTTTTTTTACTGCACTCACCTCCCCAAGGTTGTGGGAAGATAAGTGCAGTTGTGGGGAGATAAGTGCAGTTGTTGGGAGGTGAGTGCCTACTACAGTTGAGAAAGTTACTCAACTTTAAAACACATATCTTGAAAAACAAGGCAAATGTGCGAGTCGGAACTTTGAGTTAACAAATTGCTTTACAACTTTAGTTTAACAATAAACTCATTAAACATTGTTTACATAAACATTGTTTACATAAACATTGTTTACATAAACATTGTTTACATAAACATTGTTTACATAAACATTGTTTACATAAACATTGTTTACATAAACATTGTTTACATAAACATTGTTTACATAAACATTGTTAAATATTGCTCACTATTTGATCACTTTATGTTTAGAAAGTTAAATATTTCTTATTTTATTCCAAATTTCAATAAGTTGAATTAAAAAATATATATATTAAGTACTCTTACTTTATACTAATAACTGTTTTAATTGATGTTATTAATTTTACTATGTTTAACTAAATCAACATCTATAGTTTGATAAAAGATTTGTATAAAAAATTGAATAAAAATACCTGTTGATTAAAAAATTCTAGCTTTTTATTGCTTGTTTTCGAATCATCTTCAATACGCTCTAAAGTTTTTAACATTTCAAGCATTTTTCGACTTGCCTCTAATAGAACAGTTTGTGAAGAAGTAGCTTTTGGGTTTCGATTTTTTTTAACACGCTGAAAGATAAAATATTATTAAAAGCTGCATTTTTAATTGTATAACATAAAATAAAATACCAAATCTAAAAAAAATTGTCTTAATGTGATTTTTTCAAGAAGATTTAATAATTAACGCAAATTTATGGCAAGTTTTTAATATGTTTTTAGATTTTTAAAAATAATACAACATGTTGAACAACAGTCGTTTATTATAAATATTTATAATAAACTAAAGTTATTTATTATTAATTTATGTAGTAACCAATCAAAAACAAAAATATTAATTATGGCACCACCTAATATTCAAAAAGATATTATTAAAGGCACTTTTGTTAACAAGGAATGAATTAGATTTGTTGACTCAGCAAAAAGTTTAGGTGTGATACTTGACAATGAGTTATCTTTAAAAATACAAATAGATAGGATTGTTAAAAATTGCTATAATATATTAAGCAAAATATCCAAAATAAAACGATTCTTATTGCAAAAATTCTTAATTGTGCATCATAGTATGTTCACTAATGCTTGCACAGCTAGATTATTGCAACTTCCTCTACTTTGGAATTAAAAAGACACTATTAAAAAACCTGCAGTCTGTTCAAAATTGTGCAGCAAGTATTTAAAACTAGAATAGAAAATCATGTAGACGATTTAACAATTTGCATTGGCTAAAAATTAGATTAAAAAATTTTTAACTACTTCAAGGTCCTTTCAATAATGCACAAATCTATTCTGGAAGCACCAGCGTCATTATGCAATTTAATTCACTACTCTATGTCAGAAGGAACACTAAAATTAAAGAAAACAAAATACAATAATTGTTTTTGTAATTAAGCATTATCCCACTATAGTCCTAAACTTTGGAATATACTTCCAAATATCATCTGTGCCGAAAAAAACACAACTATTTATAAGAAAAAACTAAAATCTTATTTAATATTGAATGGTGAACTATTCCACTAGAAAACTCTTGAATGTTAAAAACTTTTGAATATCAATATTAAAAATTTTACTAATATAATAATTTGTAGCACAGCTGAGCAAGTGTTTACTAAAGTTGGCACTTTATCTATTATTCCAGAATAATAGATAAAGTGCCAACTTTATCTATTATTCCGAAAAAACACAGTAGCTGTGGAAAACCTATGCATTTATGTATGCATTTATTTAATATTTTATTATTGTTCTAATTGTTAAAATGATCATTACTATGGTTATTATTGCACTTTTTTATTTTTTGAAACTAATTCTCTTCAAACAAAGTTACAAACATCTAGAATTTAAACTAAGAGTTACTAGAGAATAAAGAATGGCCTTAAAGAAAAAGAAAACAAGATTTTCAGTTTTAGCATTTTTAAAAGACCATGATAGCATTTGTAAAAATAGAAAAAGAGATGCAACTTTAGTAAGATAAGACAGTGGCTCAAACTTGGCAGATAGAGCAGGTCCAACTACGTAAAATACATTTTTTTACCTAAAAGAAAAAAAGGGATCAATAAAAGAGCCCAAATATGACTCTGTATTCTATACAGAGATGACAACAAGATGATTTCATACAAAGATGACTCCATACAAAGATGATTCCATACAATAAAATTATTGAATACAAAGATGATTGCAAAGATAGCTTAGATGCAATAATCAACCTTTGCAACCAATTGCATATGTGATTTCCATGAGAGGCCAGTTGTGAATGATAATCCAAGAACCCATTAATAAAAATAATAAAACATCAATATAGATGAGAATCAATACAGGACTAAGTGTAGAACCTTGTGGTATCTTGATTTGGGTGAACCAAAGCACCAAATGTGTTTTCTGCAACATTATTACAAAGTTCTTCTGTACAAAATTGTTAACAGTGTATCCAGTGGGTGCAAAACATGTATACAGTAGGGTGCAGAGTATTTTAAAAATGTTTAATGGCAATATTAGTACATAATTGGCTATCCTTCTCAAAGGTACATGTATATATACATACATATATATATATATATATATATATATATATATATATATATATATATATATATACATATATATATATATATATATATATATAAATATATATATATATATATATATATATATATATATATATATATATGTATATATATATATATATATATATATATATATATATATATATATATATATATCGAATATGTCGAATTATAAAACTTGTTTGCGCTGATATCCATTATGTTATTGCTATTTTGTATAATAGCTAAATGTCTTTGCAATAAATGTCTTTTCTTTCAGATTTTGAATATTTTTAACAATGCTCTAGAAAAAAAATCAGCAACATGTAAATTGATTTATAGTGTTAATATGTGATATTTTTACTTGTTTTATCATAATTTATCATAATTATCGTAATTGTTTTCTTTCACTTTAGATTAATCTTACAATGCTTTTTCAGCATATAGCAGAACAAATAAAGGGTCCATATCCCATAAGGCATTTAGGGTGTGGGTTCAAATTTAGGACAAAGGCTCCTCTCTTTTTCAGTGTAGTTCTTGCAGAAAGTGAAATATGAGGAGAGGGAGCGGTGGGGAAATAATATGCTACATTTATATTTAGTATTTTTATAGTTGGTTCATTTTTATAGTTGGTTCATCTACTAATTGTCAATTGATGATGTAGATTTAACTAAATTTTTTTTTGTAAAACATATATTTTATAAATTTTGATTTATTATTTTGTGTGTCTATATATATATATATATATATATATATATATATATATATATATATATATATATATATATATATACCCTCGGAATTTGGAAAAATGATGTTGGCATTAAATTGCTGACTTTAAACTGTTAGAGGTTGACACAAAGGGGTTACCATAAAATGTAGAAATGAGGTCGGTGTTTTTGACCTAACTCTGAGGGTTGTCACGGCTGTTTCACTCAATATAAAAACGAGCGTGACATCATGAGTTTATCAAAAAAAAAGTATTTCCACATAAAAAGTATAAAAATTCACAAACTTTAAATTAATAGTAACTTTTTTATATAAATGCTTTCATCTTGCAGTTAAAAAAATATAAAAGATCTATCTTTCTTTGTTAAATAAATATTTACATTAATTGGTATAAAAATAAATATTGCCAAAATATTTTTAATAATTTAGAACCACTTTTCTAATTTTCGCATATTTTTCAGAAAACATGAGTTGGGCCAACTAAGATTTCATAACATAGCTCAGTGCTTGATAGTTGAAATTTGGAACGCTTAACCCTAATTGTCCATTCTATCAGATTCCTGCGTCATCCTAGAGATTTTTTTACAAAAAGACTGTTTTTAAAGCATTTATATTTTTTAATTGATCATTTTTAAATGCAAAACGTAACTTTTTTGATGGATGACGTAAGTTAATGAAATTTCAACCTTTTATGCAAATGAAAATAAAAAAATTATTTTTCGTGCCTTTAGCTATGTTATGAAATATGTTTTCAAAAATGTCATGTTTTACAACTAATCTTGTTAGTTTTAGGCGTACATTTGTGTTGACGTTTTTTTTTCGATGACGTAACCTTTATGCGTTACGTCCCAAACTATTTATTAACGAATATTCTCCAAACAACTGTTTTGGCGAGTCAATTTTTGAAGTATAAAGTAAACAAAGTTACGCGGAATTTTTCTCTTTGGATTATCAAACCAATATAAGATAAGTTGTTAAATCAACTTTTATCTAGTGCATATATTTGTTAATTAATATTATTTTATTTGTTTTTATTATATTGATTAATAAGTCAATATTATTTTGATAACTATGTATTCAACTGAGGAGGAAATTCTAAAATAACATATTGGATGGAAAAATGGTTGGGAAGATAGGTGTAACTTTCCTTTGTTAAGCGATTAATTAGGACAGATAAGATCAGTAACAATGTCATTTCCATTTTAATGACAGTCTTTAAAATAAGAAGTGATTTATTTAGTTTTATGAGTTTTCTTTTGTCAATTGATTTTGATATGCCTAGTAATGACGAATTTGATAAAATGTGCCTAAAGTTAACACACCAAAAAAAGAAATATAAAAAAAATTTTAAAGCTATACAAAATAAAGAATTTTTTAAAATGTAACTGTCGCAAGCTCCACAAAAAAAAAAAAAAAAAAAAAAAAAAATCAGCAGATGCAGATGACTTTTTCACTTTAAACAGTCAGGAGCTACTGAACCAAATTGATCAATTAACTTCTGAAAATAAAACAAATATGGAGCAAATAGAAAAATTTAAAATGCAAGTATTTAAGTTGGAAGCTGAAATTATAGATTTAAATTCTAAAAATAGGGCTCTCAACACACATTGTAACTCATTAAGTTCTCAATTAGAGACTATGAGTATTAGGCTAAAACAGGAGGAGCAGTTCCAACTTTTTTAAAAAAAAAAAAAAAATTAAAACAGCACAACGTAAATTTGCATTTGCTCGTGCCAAAAATGTAAGATTGCTAAAAAAAATTAATATTGAAAAAAAATTGCGAAAATTAGTGATTTAAGCCAGAACAGTTGCCAAATTTGCAAATGTTTTGCTAGTAGCGATAAGGATTTAGTTGTGGTTGATTCTTATTTAGACTACAACAACATTGGTTCCTGAAAAATTGTATTGTCCTTCATTATATGTAACATTTTTTTATAGATATATTACATATCCATTCGATGTTTATCACCAGAAGTTAGTTCTACCTTTGCAGTACCTCTGCTCTACATACCTCCTCGCTGGTTTAAGAATGGAATATAAATCTCATATCAAGTTGGTGTGAAAATTTAGTTCAATAAATTAAGAATTTGTAAACGTTATCAAAATTTTGAGTGGAGCAATTGTTTTTCTGGTTTAGCATGAGTATGAATCTAATATCAATTGGATGTACAATGATAGTTTACTACTTAGAGAACCTATCAGTAAACCAACTGATTATAAAACAGTTTTTAATGGAAATAAAAACAAATTTTCAAAAGATTTCAATTAGCTATTTGTATATTCAAACACTTTATTTACTGAGAGAAGAGACTATAGATCCAAGTGCTATAAAATAATTCTACTACCAAAAGCGAGGTTAATTCAAAAACTTAAACTCAAATTTGGTCATGAATTATTTTATTAGACTTGATGAGTCTTTATTTATTAACAACTTAACACCATATTATTAGAACTGTATGCACAGAAAAAAATAAATGCTTAAGCTTTAAATGTTTTGACTAAATATTCCAAAATCGAAATCTGGCTTTATTTCGCAAGCAATGAATTTATTGGCTTAGGAAAATAAGTTTCTAAAACAAGAACTCCTTGGTTTAAAAATGTACTCTTTTAACAGCTAATCCCCCTTTTAACTACATTTTTCATAACTTTGCAAAAAGTGCGGTTTGCTTTCAGACCTCAATAAAGTCTGTTTTAGCTATCCTTAAACAATTAAGTAAGGTTTTTTTGTTTTTATAATAGTCAAACAATGGGTATATTTGAGAATAACTATCAAAAATAAATTTTTCTGATTTTTTTTTGATAAAAAGTAACATCAAATTACTTGAATTCAGCCAACTTCATCATTTGTCGCTGTTTTTTTAAACCTGAAGAAGTTTTTTTACTGATGCATTAAATGTCGTAAGATGAAACATTTTATTTGTGTTTTTATTCTTTTTACAAAACAAAATTATCTTTAATATTTTAAAAGTTATAGAAGTTTTAGTAACACCCCCTAAATCAATATTTTCAAAAAATAACAAGAAGCCGTTAAGCTCGGTTTGAAACAGCCGTGTTGTATATATATAGTAATTGTAAATTATAAAAAGTTGTTTTATTTAATGATGTTCTGTTTTAAAAAAAATATTATATAAAATAATATATACTGTTCTATATATAAATTGTTAGCCAATACCTTTGTTAGGAATTAAATTATTACCAAGTATTATTTTAACTTAAAAACGAAAAAATATGAACTGACCATAGGAGCACAAAATTTGTTGATATAAATTTCAAATTTTTCTTCCAGATGTGGTATAAGCCAATCATAGGTTGCATACTCAACAGCTGAAGTTAAAGATACTTTAGCAGCAGCTCTATCAGTAACTCTACCAAATGCTTCACCCAATAATCCAATATATAAATTTAAACTGATAATACTAACAAGAACAAAATGAGTACTTATGGCAAGTCGTGCATATAACTGATTGACTGAAGCGAGGGTGTTAAAATCATAACCACCCACAAACAAAAGAAGAAAAAGTTGATACAGTAGATCATTGAACTTTCCATATTCATTATCTCCATTATTAATATCTACAAAGTATTATATATATATTGATTATTGCCATTATTAATACCACAAAGTATTATGTAAATATTTATCATTGCTCTTATTGATATCTACAATGATGAAAGTTAATTTGAAAAATTAAATACATCAACCAAAAGATGGAAGAATTGATATCTATAGTAAAACAAAGAATCTTAACATAAAAAGTAATGAAAAAAAAAATAAAAAAATAAATAAATAAATAAATAAGAATGATTAAAAATTAAATAAAATATGTAAATATAAGTTAAAGAAAACAATGTTATAAAAAAAAAAAAAGCTTTACAAATAAGAATAATAAAAATAAAAATAATAAAGTCAAAATCTTAACACCTTACTATTATTACTTTCTTAATTTGATTCTTGTTTTATTGAATGGATTACTATATATTTATGAATGTGTTACTATAATTTATAGATTTATAGTTTAAAAATGTTTACAATTTGTTAGAATTAAATTATTTATAATGTCTTATAATGAACTATACGCAAGTATACGCAAATATAAACCTTTTTATATTTCTATTAATATAACAGTAGTTAGATGGTGTTTTGAAGTGATTGAAAACCATCCTACTACTTTTTTTTCTTAACTTTAAGCACTGTATATTTACATATTATTTTATACAAATTTATTTACAACAAGGCTGCAGGCAACCACTAAGTTGGGACAGAAAGCTAAGTTAAAAAGCAAACAACTGTTTGAACTTTCAATTGACTACTTTAATTGCCAGACTTAAAAACTGTAAATTATATGAGTCCATAAATTATGTGAGTCTGGAAAATATAAAAAAGTGAAAAAATTCTAAAGCACCAATGTTTGAGGAAAAAAATTAGATAAATTAAAGATAAATTTTTGAGCATACAGTAAAAGAGAGCAACTTAGCTGATGATTTACACAAGATTAAGTGATTTGTTAATTAAAGTCAAAAGATAAACAAGCAATGGTTTAGGGGCTGTCCATTTACTATGTCAAACATTTTTGGCAAAATTAATAATTAAATTATCCTTTATCTTGCTTTCCTGATTCATATAATTTGCAATCTTTTAAGTCGTCTGTCAATCGTTATCTTGCTCTACAATCTTCATCTTTTCTCTTCCAGTAACTTTCAACACTAATTAGTGGTTGCTTGCAGCCTTGTTGGAAGCAAAGATGTTTAAAAAAGAAAAAAAAATTATTAGCAATAGTCAAAAAATTTTAGAACCCTATTCCACCCTATTTTGTTGACACAATTTATGAACAGCCACTTTTTGCTATAAAAATATACTTTTAATAACTATTTTTGTTATTTTTATTTAATCATTATATATTATATTTCATATTTTTATTCATCTACTTAGAAAAATAATTAATTACAGTAATATAACCATATTTAAACCTAGCCCTAACCCTAACTCTAACCCTGAACTTGAATTTAACCTTAAACAAACCCTATGTCGATGCAGCAGCACTCTTATTGGCAGCAGGCTATAAGATAGTTAATATATGTAATATTCTCTTTGTATAAAAGTTGCTAATGGGAACATTTAAAAAAAAGAAAAAGCTTAATGGGTACACAAAAATGTCCTTGATATATAATAATACTATATGCATATATACACCAGAGGTGTACTCTCATAGTCGTCCAACAGTACCAGGGAACTAAATTTTTTGAAGGACAAATAAAAATATTCCTTTGATAAAATAAAGTCAATGAAAGGGTGACTATTGATTTTTATTAGCAATTCTAGTTTTATTTTATTTAAATTCAAGAAAAATTATAATAAAACTATATTTTGAAAGCCAGTGTCAAAGTTTGTACATTTTCTATTATTAAAACTTTGACAGGCCCTGTTAAGGAGCGTTACGTTAAGCGAAGAAAATTTTTTTACGCTTACAAATATCTTATTGGTAACTGATAAAATCTAACTATAAATTGTATATAAAAATTTTTGTTTCTTATTATTTTAATATCGTGTAAAGTTCTTTTAATGTAATACATTTATGAGCATAAATTACGCTTACAAATATCTTATTGGTAACAGATAAAATCTATCTATAAACTGTTTATAATCTTTATTAAAAATACTACATTAAATATGCAAAAATTAAAATAAATAAATTGTTATAAACATACAAAATATTATGTTAAGCATAAGATTGTTTTAAAATACGGAATATAAATTCTATTATTAACTTTTGTTAAATTAATTTAATTAATTTTTAATTCACATTAAATTTAATTACAACGCCATCCTTTAAAATACTTTCAAAATATCAATAGTTTTCAGGCTCACGTAACAAAAAAGGTCTTAATAATTACACATTAAAAGCAAATGGTGTTTAAGTATTTGTAAATTATTATTTTATATTTGTCAATATTTTATTGTTGCAAAAAAGAGCGCTTATTTTTTAAATAAAATAAGCGTTCAACTCAAATGAAAACTTAATGACTTATATATTGGCAAGTGCCTTATCTAAAAGTAGAAAAGTGAATGTTATCAATTGTTTTTTTTAACATCTTTGCTTCTAACAAGGCTGCAAGCAACCACTAATTAGTGTTGGAAGTTACTGGAAGAGAAAAGATGAAGATTGTAGAACAAAATAACGATTGACAGATGACTTAAAAGATTGCAAATTATATGAATCAGGAAAGCAAGATGAAGGAAGTGAATTCCAAAGAACTGATGTTCGAGAAAAAAAGCTAGACGAATAAGAGTTTTTGGAGCACTTAGGAACAGTAACAGAAAAAGGATGAGACTTAATTGAATGACGAGTAGCACGGGAATGAATTTTAATAGATGGCACAAGAGATGCTAGCTCTTTAGAGCAGTGCCCATTATAGTATTTGTATATATAGAGAAAGAGAAGCAACATTACGACGATGTGACAGAGGTTGAAGGTTGGCTGCAAGAGCAGGTCCAACTATGTTTACAATGCGTTTTTGCACCTTGTCTAAAAGAGAAAGGGCATCATTAGAAGATCCGCCCCAGATATGGCAACAGTATTCCATACAAGGTTGAATTTGAGATTTATAGAGATAGAGAATAGAATCGAGAGTAAGAAAGTGTCGAGCTCGATAAAGATATGCAACTTTAGCAGATGCTAATTTTGCAACGGATTTGATATTTTTTTTTTTTTATTTATAATTCACCTCCTCAAGGCCGAGAAGGCCACTACAGACGAGGAGGCTACTTAATTATGGTTATAACCCTCTCTCAACTCTATAACTCCGAAACACGAACCTTGACGAGCAAGGCCGCTGCGCGGAGAAACGAGTTGAGCGCGGTACTACCAGGGACGTGGTGGGGATCGAACTCGGAACCACTCGTTTATGAAGCGAGCGCTCTACTACTACACCACTACCGCATATGATATAAGGTTTCCAAGAAAGATCAGAAGTGAGAGTTAATCCTTGAAGATGAAGGGTAGATGACTCATCGAGTACATTACCATTCATAAATATAGGAAGGTCTAAATTATTGCGATAACGATTGCTGAAAAAAATTGAGTTTTATCTGAATTAAAGTTCACCAGCCACTGTGAGCCCCATGCTGTAGCAGAAGTGAGATCCTTTTCAAGCTCAAATGCCCCCTGCAAGCAATCAGAGGGAGTTGGCTTCTTATCCTGACAAGAATAAATGGTAGTATCATCAGCAAACAATGCCACCTAAGATGTGAGAATATCTGGAAGATCGTTAATGTAAATTGAAAAGGGTATAGGGCCAAGGATTGAACCTTGAGGAACCCCTGAGGTTACAGAATAAGAAGAAGAGTGCTGTCCATCAAGGACAACTTTTATACTACGATTAGAATGAAAGGATTCAATAATCTTAAAGATGTTTCCAGATACACCGTAAGAAGAAAGCTTATGGAGAAGACCAGCATGCCAAACTTTATCACTTTACAATATTATTTTTATTTATGCAAATTATTTAGCCTACACATCGCCCTATAATGAAAAATGACTAGAATATGCAAGAACTAAAATTTAAAAAATTTAGTAAAGCGCAACTCAAAAAGTTGGTTGGCAACTAAATTAAACAAATTGGTTACTTTCAGTAACCCTTCTGGCAACCGATATTTATTTTTTTATTTTATCTAATTTTAAGACAAAAAAAATTACAATTGGCCTAATTTTTTAATAGATGATATATTTCAGTATGGAAATGGATAATAAAGTTCTACTTACTCCAGTGATGTGGAACCATACTAGAACAATCATAATAGAATCATAATAGAATAATCATGGGAACCATAGAACAATCATAGGAACCATAGAACAATCACAGAGTAAAGTGAAACAATCATAGGGTAAAGTGGTACAATCACAGTGTCAAGTGAAACAATCACAAAGTAAAGTGGAGCAGTCTCAAGATAAAATGTTAAGTCAAGTGTGAATGTCAGGTCATTTGTATGGTTTTCATGTTAACCCTATTGGTAACATGTAATCTAGTGCAACCTGCTCCATGCCCTGCTATCTTGTAGGATTTACTTTCTAAGCAAATGCTGGAAGGTGTGTACTTCCTGTCATCAATATTATTTAATATTGGTCATGCCTATATTAATTAACCAGACTGAGACAACTGCATAGCTCATTGCAAAAAAGGCAGTGCTTTATCTATAAATGAATCAAGCTCTCTTTAAACTTAACCATGCCAAAAATAACCCAAAATAATAAACATAAAAAACCATCCCCACCACCTAAATTTTTTAATATAACTTTTACAAATATTTGTTTGAATTTGCTTGAAAGCAACCTTCCATTAGTTGAATCTCATCTTTTTCAAAAGAGCTGCTTGCACTTAGACTAATTTAAACTTTGTTATTCCTTCTTCAGATCTTAGTATTGATGGGTACAATCTTTTGATTTACAAAGATTTCAATAGTCACATGCTTAGCTAGGGGATATACATATGCATAAATTCACCTATTTGTAGTGAAACTAAGTTTGAATCCTTTGATCACTCTTTTACTTTCATTCTTTTACCTTTCTGTTTGTTATTTATCTTTCTCCTTCTTCCCAAGAGACTGGAGACAAGAGACTGGAGACAAGGCTGCACTTGTTTAAATGTAATTTTTGATCAAATCGACCATGCACTTTCTCTTTACCCCTCTGCCAATATTGTTGTTATTGATGACTTTAATGCTCATCAAACTAAATAACGCTACTGACCCTGCTGTCACTAAAGCCTTTAACTTCTATATTTTTCAATCTCTACTTAAATAGTTAACTTTGTAACTCATTTTCCTGACAACCCTAATCATTTACCTTCACTCCTTGGTTTGTGGTTTGTTTCTGATCCTAGCTTGTGTTCAGTTTCTCCTCTTTCTCCTTTAGGTGGTTCTGACCATGCAATGATCTCTTCAACAGTGTTGTTAACAAAGATAGGTCTAACATTCCATCTTTCATTCATGGGACTGATCTTATTACCTTTCCCAAGGGTAAGACAGAACTATTTGTAAAGAACTTTTCTTCTTATTTGACTAATAAATCTTATAGCCATTCTCTTATGAACATTCCAATCATCACCAATGCGGTAGTGGTGTAGTGGTAGAGCGCTCGCTTCACAAACGAGAGGTTCAGAGTTTGATTCCCACCACGTCCCCTGGTAATGCCGCGCTCAACTTATTTCTCTGCGCAGTGGTCTTGTTCCTAAAGGTTTGTGTTTCGGAGTTATAGAGTTAAGAGAGGGCTATAACCACAAGTAGCTTCCTCATCTGTAGTGGCCTTCCATGATTAGGAAAACAGCATAAAAGAGGAAGGCTAAGGCCTGCTGCTGCTGAAGATGATAATAATGATGATGACAATGATGATGATGATAATTATGATGATGATGATCATCATGTTGATCATCATCATGTTGATCATCATCATATTGATCATAATGATGTTTATAAATGCATAAGCAGTATTGGAAAAAACATTTGCAACCAACATCATCAATGCTAAAAAGTGTTCCTAATTTTACATGTCTTAAAAACGAAACGAACTATACTACCACAGCAAACAGTTCAGGAGTCTGGAGTCATAACATGCCATAACATGAGCAATCAGCTGACAGGTGACAGCACACAGGCAGAATTTCGTTGACAAGTGCCATTTTGCAGCGGACAAAACAAGTGCAACTTTTTTAGTTTGTTTCATTTTCTTAAGTCTGGTCCGTGTCAACGTCACAGAAGTTTTTAATAGTTAAAAGAAGTATCCAGAAGTTTCCAAAAGTTTCCAGAAGCATGCAGAAGCTTCCAGAAGTTTCCAGAAGAAACATCTGGAAGCATCCAGAAGTATCCAGAAACATTCAGAAGCATCCAGACGCATCAAGAAGCTTCCAGAAGCATCGAAATAAAGCATCTAGAATCTTCCAGAACAGGTTCACACAGACTCATTTTACTATATAAGAGACATGTGAACCGACATGTAATTCAGTCAGTATATGGAAGTCAATCAGTCAGTATTATCAAGACAGTTTATCGAAGTGAGTTTTATCAAAGTGTTTTATCAAAGAACATCAATACAAGAAGTGAAATACAACAAGTGTTTCATTACATCAATACAGTCCACATCCAACCAAGACGTTGTGTTCCACAGAGCATTATTGTATCATCACAAGGTAAATGTAACACGGTAAACCTTAAGAAGCGTGATTATTTATTTTTATTATTTTTATGACTTCAAGTGCAAAAATGGCTCCCGACAGTCTTGGATTGGAACTAAGAAAGAAAATTATTGGTGATTACGTAAGTGGAATGTCACAAAAAAGTATTTGTGATAAATATTGCATGAAAAAATGGACCGTATCAAGACTATGTTCCAGATATCGTTCTATGGGGAAGTTGTCAGCAGATAACAAAGGTGGAAGACCGTGTTCCACCACTTCTAGAGAGGATTCTATGATTGTCAGATCCGTCAAGAAGGATCCCAGGATATCATCAGGCGAGATACAAACGCAATTAGAGCTGCCTGTATCGGACCGAAAAATCAGACAATGTGCTGTTGAAGCCGGATTGTTTTCTCGACGCCCTGCAAAGAAACCGCTAATTTCACTAAAGAACCAGAAGAAAAGACTTTTGTTTGCAACATCCCATATTGACTGGAATGTGCAGTAATGGTGAACTGTCCTGTTCAGTGATGAATCGAAGTTCAACATCATTGGGAGCGATGGCATTTACCGTGTACGTCAACCGTACGAAAACGCCTCGATTTACGTTACTGCCATAAGACTGTGAAGCATGGTGGAGGCAATGTAATGTGCTTTTCTGCTAACGGTCTAAGTACAAGACATCGAATCGATGAAATAATGGACGGTTTCATGTATAAAAATATTCTGAAAGATGTTATGTTACCTCATGCTGAATGGAGTATGCCAATAAAATGGGTTTTTCAGCAAGACAACGATCCGAAACACACTGCAAAAGTAGTCAAGCAGTGGTTTTAAGACAACTACCTATTGGTGATGGATTGGCCGCCTCAATCTCTGGATCTCAACCCTATAGAGAACCTGTGGGAGATTGTCAACCGCAGAATTAATCGTGAAGGTGTTCGTAATAAGAACCAGCTGTTTGAACAAATCCAAAAGGCCTGGGCAGCAATTCCACAAAGTTTCATTGATCACCTGATCGAATCTATGCCTCAAAGATGCAGACTGTGATCGACAACAAAGGATTTGTCACGAAATATTGATAGCGAAATACAGCTTGGTCAACATTTTGTCGAGTTGCACTTGTTTTGTCCAGAAGGAAATCAACTTTTTTTAATACATTTGATTAATTTATTAATTTTCGTGAACAAATAATGAATTTAGTGATGAGTAAAACTTGAAGAACGTTGTCTCTAAACAGTTACATAGTTATTTCTCTAAATTGAAAAAATGCAGCACTTTTATATAAAGAAACTAAATTAGCATTATTTGCTTTCACTTGTTTTGTCCAATACTGTATATCCAAAATCAGACAAAAATTTTGAAAAAAAAAAAACTTTAGGATGTTTAAATGTTTATGCAGCCTTGACCACAAACCCAGCCCCAGCCCCGGCTATATTTTATCAAACCTGGCCCCGACCCTGGTCGAATATCAAACCCGGTCATTTACTAATGAGTAATAACCTAATAACCAAGTTATTGAAAAACCACATCTATCCTAAAAATTTCTATTCTACTAAGTCACATTTAGTCTGTAAACTTAGGCAACAAAATAAAAAAATTAGTATAACATTTTTTAATTAGTGGTAAATTATAGAATTTAAATTTATTTAAAAATTTCAGCAAAAACTTTACTTTTTGTTAAGAGGAAGCCCAGTAAGCACAAGGCATGTTTATCACATGAAAAACACACATAATACATTTTTTACACCTGCTTAACCCGACTTGTGCTTACTGAGAGAACGCCCCCTGGATAGTCCACAGACAACAGAATGAAACTAAATTAGTCTTATAGTTAGTGGTAAAATAAAGTTGCCTAAGCAATGATAACTGATAATTTTAGAAAAATAATTCTCACCATTTCTTCCAAAAATTACCCAGAACATTACAGCAAACGGTATATAGAACTCAGTATACAAAAAACAAAAACGAGCAGCTGCAATTGCCATTTCTCCAAGCATGTCAATGAATGGACCTAGGAATTGCAAAGATCTTAATGCTCTATTTAATCGTAACCAAGTTACAAGAATAAATACTGATGAGAAATACATTCTCATGTTTAAAATGAAAGTTTTTGTTGGACTGCAATACCAGTATACAGTAAAGATCATTTGAACGGTTGACATAAGCAAACAAAAAGCTTCAACTAAATTCCATCCACTTGTAAAAAAATTAGATGATCGTAGTTTTAAAGTGTCCATATTGCTTTTAAGCAATATTCCCTCTATAGGCCAAGCAGGATGACAAAATGAAGTATCAAGCTGAAGTTCAAATAACTTTGCTTGTTTATATTTCTCATTCAATTTCAAGGAAATAGAATATTCCATATATAACTAAAAATGAAAGAAAAGTTGAAAAATTAGTAAAATAAATAATTATAAAACAAAAAATTACCTAAAAATTTTCAAAACAATTTCCTTACCAATTGTCATGGTTATTGTCATTGTATTTTTATTATTTTGAAAAAAATAGCTATTAAACCATTTTTTAAATTAATTTTAACTACAAATTTTATCCATTTTAGATTCTTACAGTTATTGAAGCTAATAGAAAACAATATTATTAACAAATATGTTTGTCTGGCTAGGGGTTAGAACTGTAAGTGCCTGACTAATGAGGAAACACTTTCTGATAGTTATCCAAGTAAGATAGTAAGTATAAATTTCCACTTTTATTTGTAAGTACAGTTACAATTTTTAGAATAGGGTCTGGCAAGGAGTCGCCATTATGATAAGTGTCTAGCAATAGATGGCATGATTTCTAATGCTACTCCGAAAAAAAATTTAAAAAAATTACGCTTTATAATTTGAGAAATTTTAGCAGGTGTTTTAGACACCTTTAATTAACCTTTATAACATAAAAGTTTTATTGTGCATTTAATGGAAATGGTGAGGGAAAGGCTAAAACTCTTGACAAAGATTCAGTTAAGTTTGACATGGTGGTCTTCCTCATTTTCAGCTGACAAATTGCAGTGGCTGGTGAATTTTAACTCAAACAAAGCTTTGTTGTTTGCAGCTATTATTTCATTTTTGTTGATATACGTAAGTTGATGAATGGCAACACTCTTACTAAGTCCTCTGCTAAACCACTTCTTGGATTAGTATTCACTACTGAACTCTTATGGAACTCATATATACAATCCATTGCAAAGTTAGCACCTGTAAAAGTTGCCTGATTTTATCATGTTTTTCATTTTCCTTTTTCTGAATCTATAATTCTCTACATCTAAGAATTTCTTGCACGGAAAACTGTTGTCATATTTAATTTAATTCTTCTAATATGGTCCTCTCTCTTTTAGACAAGTTTAAAAGTACATATAAATAAATTTTAAAAATATGTTATAAAAGTTGTTTGACCTACTCTACTGTTTAATAGTTGTTTGACCTACTCTACTCTCTAGCTGCTAAGCTTGGTTCTCTGTCTTATTTTTAGCTCTCTTTTTCTCTTTATCTCTCTTTTTTCTATTCATCTTTATCTCTTTTTTTTTGTAAATACTAACATAGCCACAGCTCAAGTGAGCTATCATTACATATTCCATCGAGGCAGATCTTCCAATGTTCTTTCTCTTTTAGACAAGGTAAAAAAACACATTGTAAACATAGTTAGACCTGCTCTTGCAACCAACCTACAACCATTATCACATCATTGAAATGTTGCTTCTCTTCTTCTCTTCTATAAATACTATAATTGGCACTGCTCTAAAAAGCTAGTGTCTCTTATGCCATCTACTAAAATTCATTCTCGTGTTACTCACCACTCAATTAAGTCTCATCCTCTTACTGTAGCTGTTCCTAAGTGCTCTAAAAATTCTTATTCATCTAGCTTTTTTCCTCAAACATCAGTCCTTTGGAATTTGCTTCCTTCATCTTGTTTTCCTGATTTATATAATTTGCAATCTTTTAAGTCATCTGTTAATCGTTATCTTGTTCTATAAATTTCATCTTTTCTCTTCCAGTAACTTCCAACTAGTAGTGGTTTGCAGCCTTGTTGGAAGTGAAGATGTTAAAAAAAAAACCCTTAATCTTGCATGATTTGTCATTCAGTTAAGTTGCATCTTTTTACTATAACTGTTACTTCATGCTCAAAAACTTTAATTCACTTAGTTTTTTTCTTTAACATTAGTGCTTTGGAACTCTTTGCTTTGTTTTTCTGACTGATATAACTTATAATTTTTTAAATTTTTTGTCTACCACTTTTTTGCTTTTTATATTTCTTATTTGTTTTCTGTTAACTTGCTTGGCAAACTTGTTTGAAGTGAATTTGGTTTAAAAAAGTCTCTTGTTATTAATATAGGAATACTAAAAGTATTGCAATCATGAAAACAAAAAATCTTTTTATTTAAATTAAGGTTCATTATAGATTTTGAGACCCAATCCCCAAGCTGTCACAAAGATCATACTGAAAATGAGCTGCTTATTTTAAGCAATTAATGATCAACATTTATGAAAATTAACAATTAACAATTAAAAAAACAAGCATAGCATAATTAAAAAATTATTATATTTAAAAAACTGTTTTTAATATAAAATTATTACAAATATGACTAAATGATTTTTTTTTGAAATCATGGCAACCACGCTATCACAGATTTTAATGATTTTAGTTGTGCTTACATTAGTATAAAAAACTTAAAATTTTTACACCTAACTCCTAATGGTTTCCAAAAATATCATTGTTCTGTATCTTTTTTAGCTGCTTTTTTCAGTAGCACCACCATCATTACCATTCATTTTTTAATTGTGTCAAAAAATCACTTTAAATTATGCAGTGTTTGTTCAATAATGATTGAATTTGTAACTAATTATTTTTTAGGGTTGAGAAATCAAAAAGTTTAAAATATTTTTACAATGTTTAATAGCAAAAAAATTGTATAATTATGAGTTTTTAAATAATACTTATTTTAATGTTATTTAAATTTTTTATTTTTTATTTTTATTATTCACATCTCAAGGCCGAGAAGCCACTACAGTCAAGAAGCCACTACAGTCAAGGAGGCTACTTTAATTGTGGTTATAACCTTGACAAACAACTTGATTCACATAGAAATATGTTGAAGCGGTATCATCAGCGGCGGGGATCAAACTGAGAACTTTCCCCTTATGAGGCGCTCTACCACAACACCACTAACACATTAATTAACAAAATTTGTTCATATAATAATAATATAAAAATAATATAAATAAAAGTCAACAAAAAGTTGTATACAATTTGTCTAAAAAATAGCTTAATTATTTATTATACATTACTTTTTATTTTTTTTTAATTTTAACTTTTTTTTATTTTTTGAAAATTTTTTCTTCTATTTTTATACTTGATAAATACTTTAAAAATAAAGTGAAATTTTTCATGTCTCATTTAATCACAAAACTAAGTAATAAATCTTATTTTCATGTCTCGTTTAATCACGAAACTGAGTAACATATCTTATTTTCATGTCTTGTTTAATCACAAAACTGAGTAGCAAATCTTATTTTCATATCTCGTTTAATCACAAAACTAAGTAACAAATCATTTTTTCTTTTTAATACTATTAGTATTTTTATTTACTAAAAAAAATTTTTTTTTTCAAATTTAACAATCAAAATGTGTTCAACTTACTTTATACATGAAAAAGAAAGTCATCAAATAAGAAAGAACGGCAACAACAATAACTGCATTAAATTTTCCCAAATTCTCATTTCGTACCATATTACTTCGAGGTAACTGAAGAGTAGCAGTAAATGTCCACATTATAGTAAAAAGCAGATAAAGAAATATGTTTAAATAGACATAAAAATTTGAAAACTTTCCTTTAACTTCTAACAATTTTAAAGTAACAGGATGAGTTATCAGTGAAAGATCTTGTTGACCAATTAAAATCTATGTAAAATTAAAAACTAAAATATAAGTTATAAGTTTATAAACAAATTATTAATGTTTGTTCATCAAAGACAAAAAATAATAAATAAATAAAAATACTTCCAAAAATGTGGGAGGATTGAATTTAAGCCCTCGATCAGCACTAAGAAGTCTCCACCGACGTTTTCCTAAGCAACTAATATAGTAATACTCCACTAACCCATCCTTTGCCAGAAATTGATCTAATGCTTGTCTACCAACAAAAGATGGCAACCTCTCAACAATTAAATCTATTACAGCTGTGCCAGTTGTGCAGTATGAAGCAACAGGAAGTTCCAAATCAAGAAAATGTAAACACATGTTTTCAAGACCTGTAAAAAATGTTTTTTTTTAAAAAAAGTAAGATTGTTTTGGTTGTTTAAAAATTTAACTCGAAAATTTCAACTCGAAAAAAAAACTCAAAAATTTCAATATTTGTTTTATACTTTCAGTAAAAAATTTTAAAACTAAGTCATTGCTTTAATTAAATATAAAGCCAAATGTCTTTTAAACATAAATACAGATTGCCTAAGTTCAAACATCAGCGAATTTATGAACTGAAGATACAACAAATGTTTAATTCCAATAAAATATTTAACAACAAAACAACAGGAAGTTATTTATTCTTCTTTACAATACAACAATAACATAAAAATAATAATATTAGTAACACTAACAATATAAATATACATATATATTTTTTTTCTGCTGACCTGATGCCGACTCATACAGATTAAGGTCAGCAAATTATTGGCAACATTATTTTTCCTGTATACTGTAATAATACAATAATAGTAAGTATTATATATATATTAATAAGTAATAAATTAAATAAATAAAATATATATTATATATTGTAATAAGTACAGGAAGTACAGGAAGTAAAGTACAGTAAGTACCGGGTGACCACACAACTGCGTTATGCTCAAATTTAAGGCTCTATCCATGCTTGTAGATATCCGAGGATCTATTTGTTTACAAATTACGCAATGATATCAACACAGAAAAAAAAGTAAAAATTAAAAAAATTTAATTATAATGGATCTGCAAGAATAAAAAAGACAAAGCATTCTGCAAATGTTGCAATTGGATAAGACTACATCAGATATCAGAAAGACTTTAAACTGCTCCAGAACAGCATTTTTTTGAGTAAGAAAACTTTTTCATGAAACAGGAGATATCAAACAACGTTTTAATAAGCCAAAACCTGTGAAACGATTACCTCAGCTTTTAAGGTCTGTCAAAGGAAAAGTCAAGCAAAATCCATTGCGCTCCATCCGCCAGTTGGCAAGGGAAGCCAATGTTGCCAACTCCGCAATGCAAAAAGTTATGAAAGATTTGAACCTTTTTTTTTTTTTTTTTAATTTTAATTCACTTCCTCAAGGCCGAGAAGGCCACTACAGACGAGGAGGCTACTTATTTGTGGTTATAACCCTCTCTCAACTCTATAACTCCGAAACACGAACCTTGACGAGCAAGGCCGCTGCGCGGAGAAACGAGTTGAGCACGGTACTACCAGGGACGTGGTGGGGATCGAACTCGGAACCACTCGTTTATGAAGCGAGCGCTCTACCACTACACCACTACCGCATTATCTTAACTTAAACCTTAAATCCAGAGTTGTTGTGACTAAGCATCTTATCACTAATAAACAGAAAGAAAGTAGGAAAGTGCGATGCAAAAAATTTGTTAAACTGGCGAAAATCTTACCCTGGGCGTGTGACAATCTTCTCTGATGAAAAACTTTTCACTGTGGATAAAGTTACTAATCATTGAACACAAGGTACCTTAGTACTGCCAAAACAGAAAGTCCCTGAGATTATCAGGTATTAATTTTCATAAAAAAAACAGCTTTTGTGATGGTACTTGGCGTGATAGCAAGTGATGGAAAAAAGTGTCCACCAGTTTTTGTGAAAAAAGGTCAAAAAATTGACAGTGATGAGTATATCCACCTCCTGCAAGAGAAGGTAATTCCCTGGTTAAACAGAAACTATCCAGATGGTCAGTATGTGTTTCAGCAGGATGGGGCACCAGCTCATACTTCAAAAAAGACACAAAATTTTCTCAGTGAAAACATGAGTCAGCACTGGGACAAATTAAAGTGGCCCCCATCTAGCCCAGATCTGAATAATAGGGGGGGAGGGTCCATAATCGTTTTTTTTTAGATTTTTTATAGTTTAACCAATTTTTCTTAATTAGTTTTTTATGCTGATTTTGAAAATCATAATCATTTTTTTTCATTTTAATTATTTAGCCTTCTACTTCGATTTTAATAAAAGTGAATATATTGACAAAAAAAGGCATTGTTAAAAATAGATGAAATTATTATTATCATTAAATATAAGAAAAGTAGAAAACTAGAAATCTTTTTCTGTTTAATTTATCAATAATATACCTTATCATTTATAAGTAACAAAAAAAATTAAGCATTATATATGAAAATAATTCATACAGTTTGCTGTTTACTATTGAAAATGGAAAATAACTATAAAAGTCATCATATGTGATAGAGATTGCTGCATGAACTTTCCTTATAGAACATCTAGGTTATGAGTGTGTTCTTTGGTAGACATGGAGGTTTGTATTTTTATATCAACAATCGTGTATTTAAACAGAATAGACCTCCGCGGCAATGACCTACATTGTATCCCTAAAATAAAGAACCTCATTTTTCGAACTTTTTTTCATTTTAACATATCTTTATCTACTTCAATAATGTCTATTTCACAGCTAAATAGGCTACCTTATAACTTTAATCAAGCTAAAACAGAACTCATCTTGCACACCTGATGTAAAGTTTGCTGCTCTTCCATTGTTATCCATATGTTTTTGTAGCTGGTTTCAACTATATTCCATAGTTTCAACTTTTTGGACAAATAACTGGACAATAATTCTCCAAAATATTTTTAAACTGCGCGAACCTTCATTTTTTATATGGTTTAAATAATTAAGTATAATTTACTGTTGAAATTAAATGGGTTTTTTCCAAAGCTTTCCAACTGCAACAACTTAATTAGAAAGTTAATACTAATCATATTCCATCATCAACCAAACACATAATACTTTTTTCTTTTTTGAAGTCCTGAGGCTAACTTTTGCCAAAATACTCTAGCAAGAATGATACAATCATTCAACCTCTTTGAGGTATACTTATTAACTGCTTCTAGAATTTTTTTTAACTTGCTATTCACTGTATTTTAGAGTAAAGCCTTTTAGGTAGCGGTGTTCCTTTATACTAACTGTTTATCTTTAGAATTGTTAAAACTTTAGAATTTCACTGAACTTCTACTGACTAGCACTTTAAAAGAATATTTATTTTTGACTTCATTAAAGAAAAGTGAAAAAAAAAAAAAGAAATCTTGAATAGCCTTCTTGATAGCTTGAATAACGATTAAAAATAAATAAAAAAAAGAAAATTAAGATTTTTTGAAGCAATCTGTCTTTTTGATTACTTGAAACGTTTTGTTTAGAAAGAGACTTCAGATAAAACTTTTTTTTTGAAGCAATCTGTCGTTTTACTTATTTAAAACGTTTTTTAAGAAAAAGACCAGATTAAATTTTTTTTTTCTAAAACACAACAATTAAAAATCAAATTCATCTAATCAAAATTTGAATAGCATAAATTTAAAAGAAAAGTTGCATAACTTTATACGCAAAGTAACTTTTGCAAAGACTTTTATTTTTTATATCTTTTAAATTTTTAAAATAGAAGTATAGAATTTTGGGACCCCCCCCCCCTACTAATAACAAATAATACATACATATATCGATGGTTTGGGTTTAGACAGATACTATGTATGAAGAGTATTTTTTACAACAAAATAAATAAATTTTTTTATTATTTTTCTTTTGTCTAAAAAACAGTCTTGATTTAAGTCAGCATTTTCAAAACTACAGTATGAAAAATTTAGAAGGACAGAGTTGACCAAAATCTGCAAAAGTAATTGTATATTTACATACATATTATATACAAATATATAATTGCCTCTGAAGATAAAAATGTTGCAGTTTTTATTTTTAATTTAACTCACCTCCCTAAAGAAGGTGAAAAGGGGGCCACTAAGACTAAAGAAGGTGAAAAGGGGGCCACTAAGACTAAAGAAGGTGAAAAGGGGGCCACTACAGTTAATGAGGTTATTTAATTTTTATTTATTTTTGGACTTGCAACTCTCTCTCAACTTTAAACTCTGAAACCTTGTTAAACACTACTTATATTAAAGATACTTATTATTAAAGAAGGTAAATCTTGTTAATATAGGTGCTGTGCAGTGAAACATTATGAGTGCAGTACTTCCAAAAAACTAGGGTGGATTTAAAGATGGAACCAAGTGTTTTCTCTGATTACATCACATTGAGATTTTCCACAACTGGTTTGAAAAAGTTTTTCATGTCTTAAAATGATTTGTCAAAGTCATTTTGACACATAGGTTTTTACACTTTTTTGTTTGTTTTTGTATTGACTAGAACAACCATCTAAAAAAAAATATTTTCTTTTTATGTGGCATTTCAGTTTACAACATGCTTAACATCACCAGAGATAATAAAAAACAACTTGGGTATCAATAAACTGTTAGTATTATAAAGATGGTAATAATAAAACTGTTATTCTGTATTTTTTAGTATAATATAATTATATATAATTAATATAGTATAATTTTATTTTAAATTTAGTTTTTAATTACAATAGTAATTACAATTGTGCACTCATTCTAGTTATAACTTTTTTTTAAAACTCAGTTTTATTGCCAATGTTTTATTTTTACAGTAAATATTTAATTTTCTTTGCTGTAAATATTTCATTTTAATTTATAAATAAAATAATGAGAAGTCAAATTTTGCAACATGCTGCAAATAATTTCAACAAAAATGTTAAAAAACAAAACTAAGTGAAGAGCAATCTAGGTTTTTGACAAATGTTCTTTTTTAATCTAAATTCTTAAAAAATTTCTTTAAGGTTACATCTATTGTCTACTTAGTGTACTAACATTTTTTTTGCTGTGCAAACACAATCTTATGCCAAGCATTCATCATTGTCATAAAAGTGATAAGTTAACTTTGTTATTTATTTAACAATTTCCACATTTGGAAGCTCCAAACAGTCTTTTAAATATTTTCCTTGATTGCAATATTTTGACAAAATCTTTGCACACTTTATTTATACTCTAGATTTTAAGCTATAATATAACTTCTTTTTTATTGTTATTGTATTATGGATTTCATCAGTTGAATTACTGTTTCAAAATTATTAGAAATTTATTTTAAAGTTAACTCTGCAGCTCCTTCTTTGAAAAATTCTATTAGAGTCGAGCATGCCATTTGTCATTATAAGTTGCTTGCTTTATATCTGACTTCTTTTTGATTCACATTTTTGAGACGACCTTTATTTTTGTATGTTGCTTAATTGGTGAAAAACTACACATTGCAAGTGACAAGTTATGATTTGTATTTTATATATCAGGTTCTTCTCCACTTTAAAGTAAAAAAAAGCAGACTAAGATGAATCAATTTATTGAAATTAATTATTTCTTTTAAACATAAAATGCAAGTGAATAAATATAAGAAATGTGTAATAATAATAATAAAACATTTTTGAAATAAGTTTATAACCATTTTGTAAGGTTGTTTCATTTAATAATATTTTTTCATTTTCAGATATGGAAAAAAAAACTTGCATCTTCAGCATTAACTAAAGCACAAAAACAGATTTGTCTTTTATGGGCCAAGGAGCACCTGACTTAAAACAAAAAGAATAGCAAAAGATTGTGTTCTAATGAAAAAAATCAAATTTTGATGGTCCTGATGGGTTCAATTATTGCTGGCATGACATTTGAAAAGAAAAAAATATTTTCAAAAAGAAGAGTTAGCGGAGGAAGAAAAAAAAAATAAAATAAAATAAAACTAAGAAAACAATTTTTTTTGCCTTTATAGATTTTTTTAATTATAGATATTACTATTTACAAAAAAGCCAAAATTTCCTCTATTACCCTTATTTTCTTTTCTACTTCTCATTTCTCTTTTATTTTTTATTTATTTTTTATTTATTTTTTACACATTATTACCTCTTTCTGCTGCAAGATAAAAAGGACATCTACTTCTTTCATCTTTTTCCAAAGGATTTGCACCATGTTTTACCAACATATCAAAAGCCTCAATAGATCCTGACTTGGCTGCAAAATGGATTGGCATTTGTCCTTCTCCTTTATTTGTTTTATGAAAAATATTTGCTAAATTAAAGGTAAACAAAAACTTAATCAGCAAGAAAAAATAAGAAAAATAATAATAAAAAAAATAATAATAAAAAAAAATTTCAGTTTAAAATTACAAAGTTACATTAGTTACTAAAATTAAATTTAAAACAAAAAAAAAGTGAAAAACAATGTGTTGTACAAAGTACTAATTCTTTTTTAGTATGTTTCACGGAAGTCTTTTTCAATATCAGATCACAAATAAGCAGCCCCAGGATCCAAAAATTTTAACAAGATATAATATAATATCTATATAGTATTATTTCAATAAAAAAAAGCATTTTAACCAAAATATAATTATCAAATAAAGGCAATTTATATTGCTGGAAGAAAAACATAAGAAAGTAATGTTAGGAATAAGAAAATTCATTTATTTTATGTGCTTTTAAATATGAAAACTGCCATTTTATATTAGTGTCATTTCTTTTTGTATTTTTGATAACATCTCATTTCTAACTGGTTGCCTCAGTGATTGTTCTTAATAATGCAATCAAGTATCTCTTCAATATTCAAAGGATTAATTACATTAGGTACCATTTTACATTATTTAGTAAAATAGAGTGTCAAATCAAGCTTAACTGATGCTTGCGCTAAAGCAGGATTTAATCTTTTGAGCAATTTTACTAAAGATTTTTGACATCTTTTAACTTGGTAAGTATAAAACTAATATCAATGTCAATTGTAAATGGATTAGAATCCATTTTGAATCCTGCCAACAAAGAGCAATTCAAGCTTGCATGAAAACTAGAGCTGCAATAATTTCAAACAATATTGTTGTTTATCATGTGACAGAGCTATGGAAATATCTTGGACTGGGTAAATGTAAATTAATGTTTTTTGTATACATTTTTTTACTTTGTAAAAATTTTTATGCATTAACAGAAAGCTACTCCACCTTATCTTGCAGCTCATTATAAAAGACAGTTGTTTTCCATATTCAGCCTTTATTTTTATGAGATTTAGTTGTTGGTAAGTAATTGTCTAAACATTATTACTATTTTTTGTACCCATTTGATGACCGCCCCATAATGAACTTCAGTAAGTTCACTTTGAGGCCTTGTAGTTCAGTAAATCTTCCTCAATTTCCTTTTCCTTAGAAACTGAAACTGTTCATCAAATTATGAGAGCAAAACATAACTGTTACTTAGCAACCAGCATCCTTTAAACTTTTTCATAAAGTTTCATCAATTTTATAGTCACAATGCTGTTGTGTAAATCAAGAGTATGGGCTTCAAGTTTTTTGTTTTTTTTCAGGTTGGCATTAAACCTGTTATTTGCACTTAAACTCCAGAACTGAAAAGCTGGGCCATCATTAATAATATAAGAATAATTTCAAAATGATGTCTATCTCCTGCCTCAAATTCTATTTTCTGTTTGTTTTGTTTGTTTGCACTAATAACTATAACTAATCAAATACTTTTGCTGTAGTCTACCACATGATTAAGAATTGTGTTTACTTAGATTGGCAGATTTCTGAAACCTATGACAGTAAGTGAGGCAGCTAAATCTTTTAAAGAAAAAATGACATTAAATGAAAGCTTGTCAAATGTTCATGTCAGATGCTCTTGATACATCTTAGGCTTTCGATAAAGGGACACTGATCTTCTTCATAAGCTTGCTCTATGGTGTATCTGGGAAAATTTTGAGATTATCAAATCTTTTCTTTCTAACTGCTTTTTTTAAGTTATCCTGAAAGACCAACACTCTTCTTTATTTCCAGTAACTTCTAGGGTACCTTATGGTTCTATCTTTCTAAATCTTTTATTTGTCTAGTTATTTCTCCCTCACTTCAACCCTTTGGAACTCTCCTCCAACTTCATATTTTCCTGACTCATACAACCAACAGCTTTTAAAGTTTTCTGTCAAAGAAGTTAAAGAGCAGGGTAATGGTTGACAAAAAACTTGAAAAGTTTGCTTGCAACCTTGTTGGGAGTCAAACTGATTGAAAAAAAAAAAGTTAATGCTACAATGTTTAGTATGCCCTAAGGTGCTAATAAAGTTAAAATATATAAAAACCTCCATTGCGAATAAGCCATTCCACCATTTTACAATGATTTGAACTAGCTGCAACAAACAGTGGTGTACGCCCCCAATTATCAGGAGTGTCAATGTTAGCCCCTTTACTTTTTAGATAAACTCCAACATCAGTGTTCCACTCACGTGCTACTTCATGCATTAACGTTTGTCCATACTTGTCCAGAGCATTTACATCTAGGAAAAAAATTATAATTATAAAAAGTAAGAGTATCAAGTAATAATAGTCAAATATCAAAAATAATTTTTAATATTGTGAACAAAAATGTAACAGAAAAATATTTTTTAGAAAACATGTAATTGAAAAGGTGTTTTCTGGCTTTTCAGAAAACCTATAATTGAGAGGTGTTTATCAGTACATCAGTTTATAAAACAATTTATAAAACTATGTTAAATTAATATTATATTAGTATGCTGTAAATGTTTAACATTAAATATAAAAATACAATATTTAAAAATACAAAAAGAAATAGAAAAATACAATATTTAAAAATACAAATAGAAAAAAATACAATACTTAAAAAATTTTGTTTAAAAAAATTTGATAACTACAATTAAAGAACACAACTGCTAAGCTAGTGGTGTACTGATTATTCGACATCGGCTTAATTAGCTGATGCCGATGCCGAATAATCAGTACATTACAAGCTTGCCTGAATATATATTTATTTTTTTGAAATTTTCTTTTCATTGTAAAAAAACTAAAAAATGTATAGTTTTTCTAATATCTTTTAAAATAATTGTTTGGCTCTGATTTGGGTCCAAGTATTTGTTTACCAGTACTGATTTAATGAAAAAATTTATACGATTTAAAGTTTTATGGTTTTATATTTTTTAAACATTAATAATTAGTTAATTCATCTACATCAACATCGGTATTGGCCTTTTCCCATCCATTGGCATTGGTATCGGCCACAAATGTGCTATCGGAGCATCATTATGCTAAGCTGTAACTTCTTAAATATGCTTAAAATTACATTTTGAGCATATTTAAGAATAATAAAAGTTTGGACTTTTTTCTTCTTTTTAACCCTAATTTTTATCTCAAAAAAAAGGAACCATGCAGCAGTGTACCTCCAGTTTTTATTTCTCATTTGAGTTGTCCGCAAAGATAATCAGTAGTCTAGTGTATAAGTTTTTTTTGGTATTTTTTCATGGTTGAAAATATTAAAAAAAAGTTTAAACATCATACTATTAAAACAAGTTTAATAGGAAATTGTTTAATTAAAACTAAATTAATTTATAAATTAGATTAAAAAGATAATAAAGAAGATTGTAACTTTTGTTATAGTCTTTCTTTTTGTTATAGTAATCTTTTGTTATATATATATATTTTGTATCATTTGTTTTTGTCAATCTTACCAAAGATTTTATTACATGAAGCAAAGAAGTTAAAAGCCAAATCCACAAAGAAACGTTTTATAAATAAAAAATATTCTATTATTCTCCACCTTCAACAAAATTTAATTTAATTGAATGTTTAAAACATTATGTTTTTAAATATTCTATGTAATATTTGAACTCTCTAAATCGATTTTTTGCAATAATTGTTGAATGTTGGGCCAACATTTGGCCAACGTAGTATTTGACCCAATATTTTGCTATATAAATCTGTTCTTATAATAATGCTGTAGCTCCAATGAGCAAATATTTGGCCAATGTTATTTATTGGTGTATTTCCTTAGTATACTTTTAAAACTTGTTGCATAACATTTTTAAAAAATGGTTTTAAAAAATTAAGAAAGGTTTTAATACTATTTTTCCATTTATTTAAGTTATAAAAAGAAATCAAATAGGCTATATTTTTTGTACTTCTTTGATTCTCAGAAAGTTGCCTCATAAAAAGTCAACTTTACGAGGTTCTTGTGACTTATTTTTTTTTTTCTAATGTGCTTATAACATTTTACTACAATCTATATTATCAATGTAATAAAAGCAATAATCAATGTAATATAAGCAAAAATCTAATTATTTTTATTTAAAGTATGTTAAAACTTTGTATTTATAACTGACCATTGCACTAAGTATAAAGAAGCTGTTACACCTATAAATTAGTAAGCTGGGATGACCCATTTGAAGGTTTGCAGACTTGAACAAAAATTACAAATAACATTTTATTTCCTTTGATAGTAGAAGTAAGATTTTTTTCTTATAATAAAATTTTTACTGTGTGACATTTAAAATGTCTTCTTTATTAAATAAATCGAACATTTGAAATGTCATAAAGTACTAAACTAAATTTTTTTTTTAATTTAATTTATTCATAATGGTTTAATTTATAATTAAGGTATTAATAATACCTGCAAACTGAAAATCACTACTGTTATTTAATACAAAATTTTGTATATGACTGCTACAGTGGCATTCTAGTAGTTAAAAGCTAATGATTTTTATTTTAAATATGTTTCTTTTGTTTTTTTTTGTTTTTTTTTTATTTGTTTGTTTGTGAAACCCCATCTACTAACATATAAACATAGAATACAAAAAGTGATATGTTACTAGAATCTAGTTTCTACTTATGTAGAAGCTTCAGTACATACATCAACTATTCTATAGCTTGCTGCAGTAAAGCTATATTGACTAAGGGTTTGGCATGGATAGCAATATTTTATTTAACTATTATTTGTTTTTTTTATTCTTTTTCTGAAAACATTGTATGCAGTATGCTTGATTATCTAAATACCCTATAGTATAAATATATATATACATATATATATATATATATACATATATATATATATATATATATATATATATATATATATATATATATATATATATATATATATATATATATATATATATATATATATATATATATATATATATATATATATATATATATATATATATATAGAGAGAGAGAGAGAGAGAGAGAGAGAGAGAGAGTTGCAAAAAAATGCATTATGTTGGTTTTTTGGGTAAAAAAAAAACGTTTTTTTTTTTTGGTTTTTGGCATTTTTGGGGGTTTTTTAGTATTATTTGCTTTTTTTAACAAATTTTAGTTGTTTTTTTTTGCATAAATTTTGGAATATTTTTTCTTTATTCGAGTATATTTTTAGTATATAACCGTTAAAAGCAAAATTAGATGTATAGACACCAATTTAACATAAACTTTAAATAACAGAGTTAAATTAGCATTAAGTTAGTTATATATCATACTGTATGGAAATGTTTATTTTTTGCTTTTGTTGTATTAACAACTGTGATACTCTTATTATATATAGAAACTATTCTTATCTTCTAAGAAAGTTACTATTTTAATTTTGATAATGTAAATATATTAGTATATAATACCATGCCAATTTAATATCAGACTTCAAATACTCAAAGGAATAAGCAATCTACTGAGATTATTTATTTCTTTGAACATTTGTATATTGTGTAGTAATTTAGTCGTACATTGTTTGTTATATTTGTCAAAATATATATAATATATATATATATATATATATATATATATATATATATATATATATATTAGTGATGTTTTACTAAATGTTATTATAAATTTATTACCATAATGTTGTTTTTAGAATAATTTTATTTTGTGTTGTTCTATTGTTATACTTAAAAGTAATTTATTTAAGCATTTTTGTTTTTGTTTTTTATTGATTCACTCCCAACAAGACTGCAAGCAACCACTATTAAATTGGGAGTTACTAGGAAATAAAAGAGTTATAGAGCAAGGAAACGGTTGACAGAAGACTTAAAAAGTTGAAGGTTGTATGAGTCAGGAAAACATGAAGATGGGAGAGAGTTCAAAAAGGTTGAAGCACAGAGGAAAAAGCTAGACGAATAAAAGTTTTTGGAACATGCAAGGACAGATACAGTAAAAGAATGATTCTTTGATGAATGACAAGTAAGTGAGAATGAGTTTTGGTAGATGGAACTAGAGATGAAAGCTCCTCTGAACAGCGGCCATGATATTACTTGTAGAAAAGAGAAAGAGATGCAACTTTACAACAATGTGAAAGGGGCTCCAGCTTAGCAGATAGACCAGGTCCAACTACATTTACAATATGTTTTTGGACCTTGTCTAGAAGAAAAAGATACATAAATGGGTTTAATATTGAGCATTGTCCTACTGAGGCTAAAAAAAGTAGAGCACTTTTATACTTACGCTCAAACTTAAACTACGTCGTTCGCAATGATCTTATGATTTACTCTTCAAAACATTTAGAGTCTATTTTTGTTGAAATTTTAATACCTTTTGAATCAAATATAATAATTGGTTGCATTTATCATCATCCCTCAATGAATCAACATGAATTTACTTCTTCCCACTTAACTCCTCTACTTGAAAAGTTAAGTAACGAAAAAAAAAAGATTCATCTATTGGGTGATTTTAATATGGATTTATTAAGTCACAATGAATCTAACCCTGTTTCTACATATCTAGATTCTTTAACATCTTACTCGCTAAGCCCTTCTATAATTTTACCATCACGCATAACGGCTACATCAAAAATGCTCATTAATAACATATTTACGAACTTTCATTCAACTGATCAATTCTCAGGTAACCTTACTATTTCAATTTCAGACCACATGGCACAATTTATTTGCATTCCTGGCATACCCCACCATCCCAAAAAAGTAAAAACTTACAGACGATGCTTCAAAAAATTTAATAAAAATATATTTATTGAGGAAATTTCTGATATCAACTGGGAACTCTTCATTAAAAAAGATGATGATGTTAATAAATCCATGAATTTTATCTTAAAAACATTTGATGAAAACTTAGACCGACATGCTCCTTATAAAATACTAACCAACCAACAAATTAAACTAAAATCAAAACCTTGGATTACGTATGGAATACTTAAATCTATTTCAGTTAAAAACAAACTTTATAAAAAGTTTATAAAACCAAAAAATATTTATAAGAAAAATGAATTATTTGCAAAATTTAAATTTTATAGAAACAAAATTTAAAATTTATTAAAATTTAGCAAAAATCTTTATTACTTATTTTAACAATAATCTGAACAATATTAAAAACACCTGGAAGAGAATAAAAGAAATCATTAATATTAGACCTTCTACACACAATACATTTTTTAAACTTAAATTGAACAAAAATCTTATCACTGATCACCATATCTAATATATTTAATAATTACTTTAGCACTATAGACAACAAACTACTTAGCAAAGCCATACTCCCTAAA